GTTTACCAAAGTGTAAAGCCTGCCCCTTGCAGTCTCACAAGGCTAGAGCACACTAGCTCTTGGTTGCCCTTAGTCTTCTCTTCTCTTTTCTTCTTAGAGGTCAACTAGCTGTAGACTTCACTTGGGTGTACCACATGGAGACCACACTTTCCCTTCCCTACTCCATAATCAGGGTAGAGTAAGCCCAACAGATGCGCACTCCTCACATACATCTCAAAAAAAGGAATGTAAGTGTAAATTTTCAGCAGCTACATGTATATTGAGGTGTTGGATGACACCTACACGTGTGCAGGTGCAAGTTTGTTCAAACTTCTCAACTATTTTGATTGATAGAGAGGACACTTGGGATGTAAAAAGTGGTTTGGAGTCAAAAGGGGGGTATTGGAGGACGTAACAAGGGTTTTGAGTCAGAATGAGGGTATTGGAGGATGTAAAAAGGGTTTTGAGTCAAAATGAGGGTATTGGAGAATGTAACTGTCAATCTGTCAGAGCAGGGATGGTTACGATTCAGAACGTGAACCTTGAATCTAAGAACACCAATCCCACGAGTGATAACTCACCTGTCAGAGCAGGGATGGTTACGATTCAGAACGTGAACCTTGAATCTAAGAACACCAATCCCACGAGTGATAACTCACCTTCATCCAAGAATAATTGAGAATAACTTGGATCAGTTTTGATTTCTTTAACAACAACAATTGATAAAACTCTAAATAGAAAGTTATGAAAAACAACAACATTGATTGAATGACTTACCTGTCAGAGCAGGGATGGTTACGATTCAGAACGTGAACCTTGAATCTAAGAACACCAATCCCACGAGTGATAACTCACCTTCATCCAAGAATAATTGAGAATAACTTGGATGAGGAGAGAATCTTACTCGCTGCTCTTCCAGGTATTAAATGAAATACAGTTTGAACTAGTTAGGTTTGAAATGAGTACACACCGTATGAATAAAACACATGACATGAACGTGAAACATGAAAACATAAATGTAATGAAATAATCTTAAGTAAAGTTTCATATCTGTGACATCTATAACGTAAGCTTTACTTCAACAGTAATGGACGTTCAAAGTACATTGATCTTTACAAGGCAAGTGTCATTTGGCAGAGTACCTGAGCTGATGTACACTTTGATTATGCCAACTGAAATCAAAGAGGTCATTGTCATATGAAGTCCTCATCACATTGATCCTCTTGGGAGTTTTTTATTGTGATATTGTGAATGTTGAGAATCTTGTGAAAGAAAGGATACAATTTGGAACAGCTATGTATATGATGTTTGAAGCTTGAGATTAATATCAAGACTTACATCTTGATTTTAAGATTTGATAATCCCAGACCTTTTTCTGTCAGATTACAGATTGTTTTTTGTTTTCTCAAGCAAAGAACATATCCTCATTTACATTGATTACTGTACAATCTTGAATTGGTCATTATACAATCAATTCTTTATAAACCTGGTCCACAAAAATCAACTACATCTCTCAAGTAACTTCTTGGCAAAAAAAAGAAGACACCCCTAGGAACATTCTTTATCACCCTATTTAATATTTGTAACCCATCCTTTAGCATCACCATTTATACCCAGATAACACTTGTAATACTTCAAACATCCAGCACATGTGATTTTCCCCACAGAGCTTTGTACCAGAGTGGAGCACACATAGTCACAGTGCCTGATAGCCTTTGGCTCAAGCGCCACTTTAAGAAATGCATTGAAAATATATATAGACTTGCATGGCCTCAAGGTTGGCCCCACATGCTTATTTTCTCACAGGTTTAGAACCACTTGGACCTTTGAGGTATGCATAGTGGTGGAGTATGGATGGCCTGCACATCTTTCTGTTATCAACTCATCACAAGTTGATATGCAGGTATTGCAAGTAAGGGGAATGAGAGTTTGTGGGAAAATTTTTGGGCCAGTCTCATGCCTGAATTTTAAGATATTGTGTGAGTATCTTACTGGCACAAGGAGGCAAGAGGTACCTGTATGTCCAGGACCTCACAAGTACAACTTAGATGAATTTGTACAATGATATACCATGTAAAATCACCTCCAAGTAGTTTACCTAATCACTCAGTTCCTGAAGCAGCACCTGGGAAAATCCTATAGGCCAGAATTTTTCACATTACTGTGAGCTATTCTGATGCAACCTATCAACTCATGAGGACATGGACAGCCAAAAATAAATAATCTTACTCAAAAGAAAAAAAGTTGATCAGGGCAATTTAAAGATATTTGTTAGGATTAGCTTGACATGAAGTCTATGGCAAAAGGAGTGTGGAACCAAGTCTTGGTACCAATTTAACCCTGTGACTATGCATCCTAGAAAGGTGCAGGGACGTGCATAGATGAAATTCTGATCATCAAAATCCAGGAATCAACCATTGAAATTTCTCTAACACACCAAACACCCACATTAGCTAAAGGCTACTGTGTGCCACCTCTCACCACCAGGTTTGGGGCTGTTCCTAATTGTTGAGACTTTTTTCAACAAACAAACAACTACCAGATGGATTAGTAACACCATAGACTAGGTACCTGAGTCATCTGGCTGAGTACCTAAGGCCCTAAGTTAGATTATCTAGCATCACTGCCAACATAGATGCCTCGGGTTGCGGAATCCGAGGCATCATCGGAGGTAAAACCTTGGACAAGGTCTGTCCGAGGTTTTTGTCCGAGGTAATCTTCTGCGCTGGGAGTTGCCTCGGATCAAAACCTCGGACAGCTTCTGTCGGAGGTTGGTAATCCGATAATACCTCGGATTTTCCAATCCAAGGTAAATATGTTGGCGGTGCATCCTAGATACTCAAAACAGAAGTCACTGAGGTGCCTCAGTAGCAGTTTTAGGTACCTAGCCTATGTTGGGTCTCAAATGTGAACCATCAAGAGAGCAATGGTTAGGGGTCAGAGAAAAAATACAAATAACCTCGAGAAGATATAGAAAGATAAATCTCCCTCATCTGCTTCTACACATCAGCTAGTTACCTCTTTGAAAGATTGGTATTGAAGTTTCTATTCTTCAGCTGGAAAACAAAATTTTGTTTGGAAGGGAGGGTGTAGTACATAGTAGCCTTTATAAGCTATTACTGTATTCCTCTTTTCTATTCATTCCTATTTCTTTTTCTATGTATGTATAACCAATTAGAAATATTTTAAATGTTCAATTGCATAATAAAACCTAAACCATGCATGATCATTATCAAAAGGAGAGACTTTCTATCTTCACCAATTGTGCTGTAAAAGATAAGAAGAGAATCAGTGGTCATCTAATTGAGTACAATCTAAAGTTCAATTTCTTGAATCCTCAAAAACTTGAATTCTACACAAGAAATTTTCAATGTATTTTTGACTCTTTAATGGTATAAACATTATAGATAGAGGTAAAAGACACTTTGGGCAAGAATGGTCTTTGATCAAAGAGTACACCTGATCACACACCTGAAGCTTTCTTCTCTTACTATACCTTTGTTTATTTCTCAGCCAATATCTAGAGTGTCCATCTTTGAAATCTTGATTTCTCTTGGCAATCAGATTGTTCCAGCAAGTCATTTACACTTCAGGTACATAGCATCAGGGATGCAGCACTGAGTCTACTCTGACTCAGTCCCCAGTGTTCCAAAGTCGGTACTCCTTTTGAGTACCAAAACCTGTGAGTTACAGACAGAGTGCCAGACTCCAATTTTGATCGATTAAGAGTCTTGCATGAGTTTCATACTCAGCATGGCCCCGTATGTAAGTACTAGGCATGGTACAGGACTCACCAATGAGTAGACTCACTGTACAGTCTACTCATCATGAGTACACTCATTCTTCCACAGACCAAGTGCACTCATGAGTAATGAGTACCCTCGGTCGGAACGGTGTAGTGGAAACAGCTGATTAGCGGTGTAATGGGTGAACGGGCAGGTGATGGACAAAGAAGCATGTATTTCAGTACTTCAGTTGTATAAGAGTGGGGATATAGATATGTATTCAGATAGATAACAACCTTTCATAGCAAGCAAAATCAAATGAAAACAGGTGGGGACACGTTCTGGGTACACAACAGCTCAGATCAAATGAACATAATGATGTTGATTAAGCAACATCCTCCACGTTCAAAGTAGCGTCCCAATTGGTAAGCCAGTGTCGGACAAGAACCAGGTGGCAAATGGTTTCAGGGTCAAGTCGACCTCGGGACGGAACGGCAATGTTCCCAGAGATAAAGAACACTCTCTCGACCAAGGCCCCAGCTGCCGCAATCGTGAGATGTTGAAGAGCTATCTGGGCTAAGACTGGTAATCCACTTGGTTGGGACATGCGCTGGTGAACAGGGATTTGGTCAGCTTCTATTGGCCACATCAATTCTGGAATCAACTTACTACCCAAAACTCCCCAATACTTTCATTGGGGAGTACAGGATCCAATCGTTGCAGGTACCAAGTGACTTTGTCGTTTTCTTGAATGGAATTGCTCGAATGATGAATCGATGAGGTACCCAAGAGAGAATAAATTTCTTCCAGTTTCTTGTGGGTTTTTCGTTTGGGACCCACAGGAAATGGAGGAGGTGAATTGCTGTCGCTTTTGGTGGGGCTGGGCTTCCAAAGCTCGTATTCATCTTGGAGGGAGCGTTTTGCATGCACTTCCATGTCGACATGATTTCGAAATATGGTGTCTCTCTGGACAGGGTCAAGAATGGTGCAAACAAGGGTCTGGTGGTTGGCCTCCTCACGGTCGAGATATTTGATGAGCTTGTCCTCAGCGCGTTTGCAAGCTCGACCCCAGGCCCCAGGCACCTGCTGGTGTTTCTTCAATACTGTTTGAAGGGTCCATAGCACAGGCAAGACTAAATGCTTAGTCGCGTTGTTTGATTGAAATATCTGGGTCTCCGTCTCAAACATTTCGAGGACGGGCTGCATATATTCAATAGTTGCCCAGTCCAACTTGGAGATGGCAAGGTGAGCACGTTTGGAATCAGCGGTGTACAGTTCAAGGGAGTTCCTGAGGTTGAGAGTTCGTTGCACCTGGTGCAACCAAAATGCAATTCAAAAAATAAGTCAGCATGATTGAAAAATAATCAAATGGATTTATTTTCCTTGATTAATGGAAGCTCGCCTCGAGTTCTTGAGGGCTTTTTCGGATGTGGGTGTCCAATGCGCGGATACGAGTCACAATTGTTGACTTCTTCTTGCGTGCGGTAAGAGCGGTCGTCTTGCTGTTGGCGAGTTGAGTTTCATCTGGGCCAAGAATGTCTTCATAAGTGATTTGAGACAAGTCCACGTTGTCGTCTTGAGTTTGAGTCGGCCTGTGGACTTCAAGTGAGGCCTGAGATGTTGAATTGCATTGTTGAGGAGTATGTTGAGGCAATGAATCAGGGACCGGTACACTGTAATCACCTGTGCAAGGGAGTTCATCTGGCTCAAATGATGCAAGGGTTTTGGCCATTCCTGAAGTTTCAAATGTGGCGATGTCTTCGTCGGTGAGCTGGCCCATGCCGTCCAAAAAGTCTTTGGCCACCAAGTTGATGACGTGGCACATGCAGCCGTGGAACCTCGACTCAAATGGTCAGTGGATGCCGAGGGTCGCGTAACAATCACCCAAAACCTTCGCCATCGAACAATTGGATGATGCATTGTCCCCGGTGATTGAGTAATGACTGCGAAGGGCCCCTACGTGTTCCAGCGCTTTCCAGTAAACCTTGGCAAGGTTTTCACCAGTGTGCTTTCCTTCAAGTTTCTGGTGAAATGAAAATAATCACAAAGGTTAGATAATGTTGGACCTTGAGAATATGAACAAAAGAGACTTGCCTTGAATGCTAACAATTGCCGACAGAACTTGCCTTCGGAATTGAAAAAAAAAACCGTTTATGGCCATGTACGTATGGCTGAAGTCGGCGCTCGTCCAACAGTCCGTCGCGGTTGAGATTGAACCAGAGACCGACACGACCTTGTCAAGAAGCTTGCGTTCCAAGTCGATGAAGAGCGCTTCGGAGTCTGACTTCACCGCCATCCTCGCAGGCCAATAAAAAGATGGTGCTATTGCCCGCAGAGCTTTCTGCATGAGAACCCCTTCGAATATCAAGAAGGGCAAGTTCTTGCTGATAACCGCTCCGACAAGAAGCGTGCGCAGCTCTTTCTTGCGGTCCGCGGCCACGATGGGGTCGCTTTTGGGTTTGATGCTTCCTGGGTCATGGTTGTACCATGCCAGAGCAAGACCCGGGCACTTTTGTCAATGCTTGTGCAAGTTGGAGTTGGGACGCCCGGTGATCGAAAGGACCACACTGTGAATTGGTTCGTTTCATGAGCTTGGTAATATGCTAGACAGTTGAACACAATCAACTTACGGGCAATGAAGACATGGGTACGCTCGGGGACCTTTGTCTTTGGTCTCGTCGTTCGAGGCCAGCGGGTCCTAAATTGACACGAAATCTGAGATCAGCTTGGGCCGAGGAGAACACTGTAGATATTGTAACTGTAGGGCTTGGAAACTCACGTCAAAATAAAGGTACACGTCGGATTGGTGTTGATGGGATCGAATTGTGTTGTCCTCTCCGTCGTGTTCGGTAGTGTCTTGCACCACGACAGACCAAGGACGAGATGGAGGGGTGGCATCCGCACGAGTGGAGGAAGCCGTGGAAATCCGAGGAGCTAAGCTAACACAGGATGACACCGGAGTAATACGAGACGCTGAAATCAATCGTGATTGAGAAGAAGCTGGGGTCCCACGTCTGGCGTAGGGTGAGCCTTTCGAAGGGGGAGGGGACTTGTGGAGATTTTGAGGCATGCTGGCGAGGTATTCGGCTGGTCTATTGGGATCAAAGTGCGATGGATTATAGACGCGATCAAATGAAGGAGAAATCGAAGGGAGCAAACAAAAAGGTCTCAGAACGAGGGCAGCAAGAAGGAAAAGGGGAGGTCATGTAGGTAAGAGACGAGAAAGACAAATGATTAAAAGAAGGCAGCCGGAAGGACTGACCTTTGGTCTTCAAACCAATTCAACAATCCAAGGGCCCCAACATGACCATTAACCCAAGCCAACGCCGGCCACAATATCTTGATCTGCCCACCGGGTTCTAATGAAATCTCTGCCACAATGATTCCGTATACAATGGAAAGATAAATGAATTGTTGATAATCGAAGTCTACAAGGCCAAGCCACTCATCTAGAGTGAGTACATGTGGGAACAAGTTGAAACAGGTTATGGCGTGAACGATGAGATGGGCCTGGTAGCTGAATTGGGAAGGAGGATGGTAGGAATTGGGGTGGACGAGGGGGAGGGTGGTAGGAAGCAGGGTGGACTAGGATGGGTTGTTTGTGAAATTCGACCAGGTGGCGGTATCTTCAGAGGCGGTGTGGGTGGGAAACTTGTTGCCCTGGGTCGATATCAATCGTGGATAAGCAAGATATTGATGTTTGTGGATCCGGTGGAGGCTTTGATTAAGATATTGATATTTGAGGTTTGTGATTCCGATTCCGATGGAGGCCTTGTTTGGATGAGTATATGGTGAGTATATACTCATCCAAACAAGGATCGCGGTGAAAGAGGGTTAGTGAGTGTTTGGGCCGGATACGCCACAAACATTGAGTATGTGTAATCAACTTACACATACAAGTGAGCTCTCCAGAATGGAGTGTAACTAATACAGGCCGGCAGAGGAGTACATGTACTCCTCTGCGGGGCCCATACCCGTGCTTCGTGAGTATGAGTTGGGTATACTCATACTCAGTGCTGCATCCCTGCATAGCATGGCTGGCTAAACTGTTCATTGAGGTTTATTTCAACTTCAACTTCAACTTTCTTAACTTTCTTTTTTCTTCCCATCCAAGGATATCTCCTTCTTTGTATACCTAAGCAAATTCTCAAGTGTATCAAAGATACTGAGGTATGTCATCAAGTTAAGAATCACATTATGAGACCTTCACTTTCTAGTACTTTTTTCAATCAAAACAAGGTAAGCAAACAACAATTCCAAAGATTCAGCATTTCACATGAACCCATCTAAGTCATAGGAGAAGAGCCTCAATTAATAATAATTAATGGAATATGAATAAATAAGGAGTGATAGGGAAAAAAATGTAACAAAAAATGAAAAAAGAGAGGGGAAAAATCAACCTAAATCAACTTGACTCGAACGTTAGACTTCTAGAGAGTTTCGCTTGTTCTTTCATCTTCACCTTTTCATTGTAGGGGGGTTGAACCTAGTTGAATGCAAGAGGCAGTTATTGGGGACTTTCATTCTCATCGAAAATAAAGAGATTCATTCATTCATTCATTCATTCTTTTTTTTGTGGAAAACTTGCGTTTATCTTCATTTCTTCATATGTTCAGGCATTTCCTAGTGTGAGATTGAGATTTTCTCTGTTCTTTTTTTGCTCGAATGACCTTCTCTCTTGAAAGAAAGTGGGAAGTAGGACAGCCCGATTGTAACAAAAAAAGCCCCAAGAAAAAAAGAATGATAAAAACTCAAAATAAGACTGTCTCTTATGGGTCAAGTAGCCGAATCACCGGAGCCTAAGGGTAACAGTTACGAAAGAACGTAAATGAAAATAATTGGGAAGACTAAACTAAGGTTTTTCGTACTATGGGAGATTGGATGGATGTTTTGATCTTGGTGCGGATGAAGTTGTATGTTGCAGACGGGACGTGTTGCTTCCCCATTGCTTTCTCGCTTTTGACTTGTGAAAAAAGCAAGATGTCCACCAACAAAGCAAGAGACACAGTCAACACTACCTAGAAGAGGTACAATGGGGATGATATTACCTTTCCAAACAGAGCTGAATCATCTCATCGACCTGTTAAATGAGAGGCATAGAACTCATTACGCCGTGAAGCAATGTTGGTGAGAACGAGCAGACGAGTTACCTACGTCTGATGAGCATGATTTACCACCGGGCAGTTTCAGCCGGTGGAGGGGGAGGGGGAGGCGCAGAGGCGCTCAACCCATTTCCATTCGTGATGGCAGCTTCACCATTCACGTCATCATAATCGCGAGGCAGAGATGCACGCCTGGCTGACCCGCGGGGAGCCGGGGAGCGCGATCGACTGACGGATCGGCGACGTCTGCGCGGCGGAGATTCATCGTGTCTATATTTCAGGCAGAAAGTGAGGATAGGAACACGAGATCTCAGTGACTTGTGATAGGGGGCCACAATGTTGACCAGAACCGCGCGATTCGACGTACCTTGAACGACGGGGAGAGCCTCGTCTATCACTCTCGCGGTAGCGAGAATAACCAGGATCATCTCGGCTGCGTCCGTATCCGTAGCCTTCATCACCGCGACTGCGCCAATCATCCCGACGAAAGCCACCACCATAACCATAGCTACTGTGGTAGCCACCACCACCATATCCACGACTCTGGTAGCCTCCATGACCGTAGCCTCCGCCACTGCTACCGAATCGATCATAGGCTGCACGCTCTTCCTCTTCTCGCTTGGTACCCATATATTGACCAGGAGTAGGCTGATGAGGTTTGGTGGTAACTGAGTAATCAACTCGAATTGGGCGGCCGTGCAAATCCTTGCGAATCAAAAGTGGTATGAGTTGAGCAAAGCGAGGCGAATCAATCAATCAAGTGTTGCTATGCGCAAAAACTCACCAGCCCATTCAGCTCGGATATACACGTTGAGGCATCTTGAACATCACGCATGGTAACAAAGCCAAAACCACGCGATCGATCACTCTGTTGAAACTCAAAGAAATTGTCAGAAAAGAAGTACCGTGAACGATGAGCAAATGAAAAGAAAAATGAACTCAACTCGTTGATCATAGACAATCACGACTTTTTCCACTTTGCCGTATCGACTGAATTCTGCCTCCAGATCCGATTCTCGTGTACGAATGCTAAGACCGAAGACTCCAAGAACGTTGGTGGGTTGAACGTCTTGAGGGGCATGACGAGGACGGACAGGTGGGCCAGATACGATAGGCCTATCGCGATGATTGACTGACTCCTCGCCAGGACGGGAGGGAGAGACTGAGCGACGAGAACTACCACCGTATGCACCTGGCGAGCTGAGTAGAGAAGATGATACAAACAAGAATAAAGGTGACAAAGTGGACAAAGGGTAACCAGAAGAAAAGAAGTCAGGAAGAAAGGAAAACCTACCGACTTGGTTGACGATCAGAATCAGGACCAGGCATGATGATATTGGATTGATAGAGATTGAGATGGAATAGACGAAGGTAATTAGGAAAAAGGTGGTAAGATTGAACAACCAAAGGATAAACCAGGAAGTTGATCAAGTTCAAAGGGCAAGGTCGATCAAAAAAATTAAACACTGAAGCCTCAAACGGTCAAGAAGCGGTTCGGGATAAGAGATCAGGGTAGCTTAAACTGGTCAATTTAAACACTTAACCTGAAACTTAACTGTTAAATTCGCAGCTTAACTACACCAAAGACAGTCATCAAAACACTTTGTAAACAGCAGTCTTGACAAACTTTGATCTCACCAATCTTTAACTTGTCTCATTCAGTTGCCCAATCCTGATCGGCTGCGATCAAAATGACATCAGATCGGGCTGAGCTCTTCATCATCAAACATCATCGCCTCCAAACACTTCGCAGTCGATCATTCAAACATGCGGTTCAACATCGATCAACTTAACGCTTGATCACTTCAACTGCTTCTCTTATGATCTCATTTCGGCCTCTACGTATAGATCTAAAACCTTGAGGACCTTACTACGCCCCACTTGCGCCTCAGTCTATCATTCAGATCTGACACGAAACAGTCAACCGGGGAATTTGGTCTTCCGGACTACGTAACTTGAGCCTTCGAAAAGGTTGGCTTGTCGACCTCTTCAGTATACCTCATGAGGGCTCGACCTACGTTGCCATACTTCAGTATCAGGTGTTTATACATTTTGCAATGAGAATGTATCATAATCCATGAAATGGTGGGGTGTGATCATACCTTGGGAGTCCACCGAAACATTGCCTTGGCAATCCTTACACTTTACGTTTGGATACCCTTGAAGACGTATCCCTATCCAGATTCAAAAGAAGCTTGCTTTGAAGTTAATCTGAAGTGCATGATCGATATCTGACATAGAGCCTGTCACGCTTACCAGAAAGTTGCTCAAATTATGCGGAAGAGCGATTAGTATGATGGAGTCATGATTTTGAAAGAGATACGCAGATAAGTTAGATGTTGAAAAATAGTGGTGTTAGCTTTAGCAATTATTGACGGTTTCGAATTCCTTTTGTAGGCCATTGAGGGATATTCTTAATTGATTCCAATGGTTTTGTGACATATTGTTTTTTGGGGTGTTTCAATTCAACATTCCAATTTATACACCAAGATAAACTTAAAGTGGAGATTACCTGTAATCATCAGGTAATCAGCTTAATGAAAGCTGATCACTTGATCGAACTGAGATGAGAACAGTCTGAGGTAAAGAAGATTGTACGAAGAAAATTGTTAGAGTTTGATAAGAGAAAAAGTGGTAAACAGCACACAAGAGCTGTATATAACAAAGTCACACGTTGACGTCATATCATTGTACAGTCACAAGTGTATGAATGTCAAATGATGTAACAAAGAAACCACTAGACGCATTCATAAGCCAACTGATTGTTAATATCACAATTGGTATTTCGTAGCCATGATGAATTCTGAGGCAAATGCTGATCGCGATCCAGGATTGGGACATTTCTTAGTATGTTATGTACCTTTTTTAATTCTTATTTCATGTTCATAAGATGAGAAGTCAAGGATGTTCGGTATCAACACCTGAGATGTAAGAATGAAGTTCCAAGAGGAGGAAAAGATCTGCATGGCTCTCTTTTCCTTTTCATACATTCATATCCACAACAAGATCTTATCAGCGCAATGGAAACATTTTTCAAAATGTTCTTTGACTTCAGCAGTGGATCTACCAGCATGAACAACGATTTTTTTTCAAGACCCCAAAAACCAATTCAAACATATTCCAAATAAATAAGTACAACTACCCAAAAAAACACAACATAAACCATTCTTAATGTCATACCAATTTCACATATAGCATAAACCAGTTTTCAACCTGTTCTGCCCATCAAGGATAAAGAATCAATAAAACAAAATTACGAAAAGAAAGAAGGAGAAAGACATAATAAAGACGTAATGTATGAGATCAATAGAGAAACCCGAAAAAGGGAGACTTTAAAATAGATAATTGAACCAAAAAATCAAACTAGAATCGTTAAAGCAGTTCATAGCCTTGATGTGAATATATATATTTTACTCGCACTCTTAGGAAATGATCACCAAAACACCGCGAAAGGTAAATCGACAGACGACCATCTAGCGATCAAGTTGTCAATGGACTTCCTCCTTTTACAGCGTTAACATTCGCAATAAATTCACCAGCATAATTTCCAGGTCTAAAATTCCAATTTCCATTTTTATTAATGAAGTTCAACCCAAACTCTTTAGAACCATCATCAATCAAGACTTACGGATTATATTCACAAACCCAAAACTTGCTATTACCCGTCCAAGGAACATCTTTAATTGTTTCACAATCAGTATAAGCGCATCCGATATGAGTAGTACGTTTCCAAACGATTTCTAGAATAAAAAAACAAATCAAAAATTACATTATCAGATCTATTGGCAATGATATGTTTGCCGGGCTTCCACACAATGACAGCTGTAAGGACTAGAGATACGATCAAGGGAAATGATCAAAACTGACGAGTAAAGTGCGAGTACATTGGGTTTTGAGGATCGTAAACCGAACTCTCGTCATTCCCATATGCCCAATCATGCACGACTTGTCCAAGATCCATTTCACCTGCCGCAATATTCTATATATCATCAACATTTCTCATGTGGATCAGTCATCTTTGTTAATTTCTTCTTGGTGAATTTAAGTTGGATGTGAAAAGATACAAAAAACTAACCTCGCCAGTATCACCATGAGAGTGTTGAAAAACACAAGTTTCGCTAACTTTTTTTGCCATAGCAGAAAGGTCTTCGCTCCATTGAACAGGAGGAGTGAAATACTTATTTCGAATCGAATTATGAAAGGCTACCCATCTATTTTACATATATGTCTTTAGTTAGATGAAGAGTAGAATCAAATTTGAATGTAAAGGTATTGATTAGTAAATACTGACCTGACTGATTCAGATTCACCTTCGTGCGAACCATGTTTATACTTTTCGAATGAAGAGAATTGCGAAGAATCGGCAGTGCTGAGATAAATACATAGATGTGATCTCCTTATCAGATATCATCCTCGAAAACGATGACGGATGATTCACTCAACTGTTTTTGCTCAGTACCACTCAATGCTGAAGTTGTTGATCCAGTTTGAACAACAGGCTGGGAGTTCGGTTTAGGTGTTGCTTCAATGACGGTGGACAGTTGATGACTAGGAACAGGGTTTTTCACCGATTCTCCTTTTTTGACTTCCTCTAACTTTTGTGAAGGTTGTGCTTGATCTTTCTTTTCTTGCTCGTTCTTTTCTTGATCTTTCTTTTCTTGATTTTTCTTTTCTTGATCTTTCTTTTCTTGATCTTTCTTTTCCTTTTCTGCCTTTTCCTTCAGCTTTGCTTGGTCTTCAGCATCTTTGGCTTTTTTGAGATCCTCTTGCTTTTGTTTTTCGATTGCTTCCTGCTTCGTCTTTTGCTCCGCAGCGAGATCCTTTTGTTTCTGGGCTTCAGCTGCCTCCTGCTCTTGCTGCTCCTCTTCAGCTTCCTGCTGCTCTTCCTGCTGCTCTTCAGCGTCCTCCTTTTCATCTTGCTCCTCCTCTTGTTGTTCATCAGTACACTCCTTGTCATCTTCAAGGTCCCGTGATAAATTCATAGAATCATTTTCTTGTTGTAAGATTGCCTTGGTCCACTTAGCTGCTTGAATCAAAGTTCTGCCTTCATCCATCTGTCCCTTGAAGGCCTCTAATCGTTTTTCAATGTGATCAACATCCTGCTTTGAATTCATAGCATATTTCTCTTTTTGTAAGATTGCCTTGGTCCATCTGGCTTCTTGAATTGGAGTTCTTCCTCCTTCCATTTGTGTCTTGAAGGCCTGTAATCGTTGCTCAATGTGATTAACATCCTGTGGTGATTGGGCACAATGATTTCCTTGTCTTAAGATTTCCTTAGTCCACTTGGCGGCTTGGACCAAAGTTCGTCCTTCATTCATTTGTGTCTTGAAGGCCTCTAGTCTTTTTTCGATGTGATCAACATTCTGTTGAGCGTTCGTCTTCATGTTTTGATTTGTCAGTGGCGCTTTGAATCTGCAACTTCTTTTTGAGTGTTTATTGACCCTAGCAATATGCCTTATTGAATCACTACATGTTTTATATCGTAATCGCAAACAAAACAACACGATGAGTTACTATGAGATCCTCATTATAGATGACGGAGAATGTAGGAAAATGTCAGCCACTTACACTTGAGGTTGTGAACGTTTCGGATGACAGCCTCTTCCCTACCATAAATAACACATTCAAAAGGTGAAAAATTCGAACCAATATATTCGACAGACAATCAGTTTCCATTTCTCGACTTTGAGACAAAAAATATATGAAAAGTTACTCGGCAAGTTGATCGTCCTAGTCGAGTTGAACGTGATGGCTTGCTACTGCCATCGAGGGCCCCGGTTTGGGATGAGAGATTCAAAGAAGAAAATACGAGAAGTAGTATTGTGAGCGAGAGCAAATTTGACCACTTGATCATCCTAGGTCTCTTGAACATCTCAATATAGTGAATGAGATATGAATTGACTCGAGCGCACAAGTAGGTAAGTGTATAAAAATTGACGCCGTTAAATTTTTTTGAAAGCGATAAAAGGAGTGTGTGGATCAGTAATTACAGTGAACTATGATAGAATATTCCAAAAGCAAAAGAAGGACAAAGGTCAAAAAGGAAGGGGTGCAAGTGGGAAAATATATATTTTGGGAGTTCGGTATGTTATGTACATGAGCCTGAAGGGCGATAGCAACGTTACCGTGAAAGATGTCCATATTTTCAGAAGGTGAAAGAATCAACTCGGCATGAAGAATCTTACAGGAGCGATCACAATTGGTCCCATTTGGGTGAAGTATAGAAGTTGATCATAAGCTCATGACCAAAAAAAATTAACACCTATGGTAAAGTATCCCGATAAAGTTGATTGGAAACTTTTTTAAACCTTCCGCGAGATCTTCCGCGAGATCGTGCTGAGCTCGTGACTACTAGGGGTACTAAATTCCTTTGAGCCATTCAGAAAATTTTCTTACAGTGCCAAGTATCTGGATATTGCAAGTACCACTTCCTCCTTGAATTATCAGGGTTCAATGGCGTTCCCGGGTATCCAACCAGGTAAAAATGTGTGATACATCTCCTGGATTTCGGTCTACATCAAGCAAAGCGAGTTTGTTTTGACTGGGTCTGATCAGCTGTGGTGTTTTTTACTGTTCCTTTTTCAGCTTACAACCATCCTTGACGCAAAAATCTAAGCTACCGCTTTTGTTTTGCTTGGGTTACCTTGAAGCCAGCAAAGAGGACTCATGGAGTCAATGCGACAGAAACATCTTGCCGCATGGCACAGTGCATTCTCACAATCACACCCATCAGATGAGATAATGCGAACACATAGCTTTGCGTAAAGATAGGCTATATAGCCCGCACCTCAGGCCTGTTGAGCCTACCACTCACCTGGAAAGCAGGACTGGGGAGATTTGGGGAAAGGTTTTTGAAATTGCAGGGTGCACCCAAGTGTGCGGCCTACCCCAGCTTACGCACGCAGCACGCCGTTTGAAAGCCGAAGTCCTTCAAGTCCATAAATATGGAATTTGTAAGCTTAACTAAGCCCCTCTTCCGCGGCCACGTCCGCGACCTCGAAGAGGGGCTTACCGCGGACTCGCGAGTTTTCGCGGAGGACTTCCAAGAATTAAGTACTGTTATGTACTTCTTTCAACTTTCCCTCAACACCTCTGGCCAGAAAGTGCCAGCCTTCTGATATGTTGTTCTCAAAGCTTTTGTACATATTTTGATACCCCACACTTGTGCTTTACTCGGCGGAACGGTTTCCATGTTGGGTGGTAAGCATCATTGGATGTGCTTGTGTATGTTCCAGTCAAATACCCTGGAAAATACCCCGGAATGATTTTTTGGAACAAAACCCCAAATTTGTGGGCAAAGCCTCCTTGCGTTTTGTCCTTGGTTTTAGCTCGGTTTTGTATGGGATGGCTGAGCACGGTGAGGTTAAGTACGCGTTCTTGTGGTTACGCGCTTTTGTGGTACACAAAAATTTTGAACCACAAAATGGACACAAAAATTTTGTTCAAAATTTGGGAAGGGATTCTGGCGCGCGGCCATTCCCAAAACTACAGAGTGACCGCTATCAAAAATTGCAGCCTCAAGAAATCACAAAGAGCCAGCGACCTCCCATGGAGCAAGAAACCAAAATCCGCCAGCGTCCCTTCATCGAGTCCATTGCTGTGCAGTTATGTTCTACTGCAAAAAGTCAGCAGACCTTTGCTAAAGAGGTATTTTACTCTTTTTTATGTGCGGATAACCCCGTTTTAAAAGAAAGTCGACGTTATTGGGGTATCGAAAGAGGTTTGAACTCCACTTTCCAAATTGTGCGTGCGATCAAGGACCTGACTCAAAATAGTGAGGAAGGCCGGGCTGCATGGTGCAAGTTTATTTTGAGCGAGGTGAGTGTTCTTCTTTCTTAACAGTGGTATACAAGTTAATGATAATGGTTCTCATAGGCGCAAGAAGAAATTCAACAAGAAATTATGTCCAAACCTCGATGTTTTTATAGTTCACAAAAAATCACAAACGAGTTCTTTGAGCTAGGTCAATTACACGCGCGTGAAGATAAATTAAAGGCCTCAATGCCATTTTTGTGGAATCTGATGTATCATCAGCTATCGCTTAGATCAAATAATCGTGCGGCTCTTATGACGCCTGCTCACCGCAGCAACGTTTGGGACACGTTGGAAGACGAACATTCAGAACATGATCCAGATGCTGAAACCGGCCTGGCGACTGAAACTGTTGGTGAGAGGGAAGCCCGACATGACGAGGAAATGCTTTATCTTCCAGAAGACCAAACTAAGGCAGAAAGAGACCGAGCAAATCTGGCAAGTACCACACTTACTTGCTTTACAAAGATTGCGGTTACTCAACTGACTTGATATAACTGTTTTAGGTTGCAACCACCATATGTGGCATGGTCTCGTACATGTCTAATTATAGAGATAATGCGCTTCAGTTGCACAACACGTTGACTTTCATTGCAACTGGAGTGTCTGATAGAGTTTTTCAATATTTGAATACTTTAGGCCTGTCAAGTTCTCGAGATACAGCTTTACGAACTTTAAATCATCTCAAAAGCGAGCGAGAAGCCTCACTGCGAGCACTTATGGCCCAGCCTTATAGTATATGCCCAATAATCTGCATCGATAACTTTGATATCTTACAAAGAGTTCACAATACCCGAGTAGAGACTGTGTCGCATCTCTTTCATGGCACATGGGGTTATATTCAGTTTTTACCTAAATACCTAGATAAAGATATCTCGAAAGAAAGTCCGAGCACTCACCTTCGAAACTACCATCAATCCTTGGCTGAAGCTCGGAATTCCCCGGTCCGGTTGGACACTTTCAGGGAAAAGGCAAGTGATATGAACCAGTGGGAGGCGACTTTAAAAAGTCAGCTAGCCACGGTCATGTACAAATACATTCTCAAAGCTGGAACAACTCCCTCACCCAAAATTGCTACAAGGCCACCTCCGGTAGACCAGATTCCTGTAGATGATCGCCATTTGTTTCTGATGAGCCTAATGGACGCGGCCGACAACTCAGCAGATGGGGTTGCACAAGTTTTTGACGAAATCGCTTCTCAATGCGGGCTGACGCTCGAAGAAATGTCAAAATGGATCAGGATCGTTCAAGGTGACCTTGGCACTTGTCAGAATATCGAAAGTCTTCGAAAGAAGCGTACTCCCGCCGGAACTGACGTAGGAGGCCTTACCAGTGTGCTTACTATCCCTGGGGTTTCCCATATTATGTGGAACCTGGCACAAGGGATCCTATTGCATCATTGGGGTGATACACGTGACTCTAAGGACACTGGCGCGTGGAAGGCATGGCAGTCTTTGGGCGGATTACAAGGAGCTAATGCTAAACTGCCGTCGAGCATGGATTTTGGAACTGTTATGAAAGCGCGCCACTCGGTTCACTGCGCAACTTTGGTGTCGTGTTTAAGGTGAGTCCACCTTGATTGCATCCCGATCCCAAGTTAGAACCTGATCTTACGACATGTTTTTAAACATGATCTAGGCACACTATGTCAAAATACGAGACTCCTCCGGACCTAGGCAAGGAGGGTGCGGCCCAAGACCTAATAGATAGATGTTACAAAGAATTTTGCACCTCGGATTCTTTGAGAGCGTGTCATAAGATAGGGGACAATGTCGGCTATAATTTAAGGCTTCGGATACGTGATTTTGCGACTGTGGTGGAAGCTGATGATGCGACACACGCAGGTGATATTGGCAGGCTAATGCTGATGTGGAAACGATGGTCAATAATGGCTCATGGGTTAAAGGGCTTGCCTCGATATGCATTGCATCTGACTCGCTTTCTTGTGCTTGTGGAGCAGGACCTACCTCCTAATTTGGCCAAACTAATACTGCATAGTTTGCTTATTCCATCAGGTCAACGCCCAGGTCATTTTGTAGGAAATGATCTCTGGCTTGAACACCAAAACTTTTGGCTCAAACACCATTTCAATCAAACGGTTAGTCTTTTTTTTTCGGGGTTTTGATTAACACATCGATTAATCATGTGATTATGTAGAGTAACGGAACGGATATTGAAAAGCTGATCGCTATTTCAATTAACATCACATTTGTGTGTGCAAGAGATTTTTAATAAACATCTTGATTCAAATCGATTAATGAAACATTGAAACTTGTTCCTAGCTACGACAACTGATTCAACAATTAAAAATCCGGAGCGGACTGAAACCTGTGTTTCAAAACCACTACCATAACCTTTCAGAACAAACCCTCGCTAACTTTATCCGCTCTTGGAATTATCAATATGTCACTTCCAAAAACTCGACTGTCAAAAGTCAATTTACCGATACGGTCTTGACCGGAACAAATGTATTACAAGACAACTTTTTGAAAGACCGGAAAAAGAATGAAGTATCTCGATATCAATGGGGTTGTTTGGGTGACACGGTGGTTGATGCCGAAGGCAATCGTGAAGACATCCACCCCAAAAGTCAGGTTGAGCTAAACTGTGGTGTTCCTTTGTTTGGCTGATTTGCCCTTCTTACCGACATATGGGGGTGGTTTTCTCTTGGTCGACTTAGGACCAGTGATTCCTGAAGTCGTAGGGTCTACCTGCAATAAAGTAGTTAATTTCATGACAGGGTTAGATCGCATGAACCAAAGTGTTACAAAAGACATATATGATAATTAGAAGATAAAGTAATGAAACCATACCACTTTGTCCTTTTCGCTCACATCTTTTGCCTTAGTGAAATTGGAGGCACTTTTTTGCTTCGCTTTGGTCTTTGCTTTGTTGTACATGATCATCTCTTCTTCCGAAGGGTGCAACACTGCAATCGAATCCGTGCTTGCCTTCCATTTGCGAATGTCTTGATGTATTGATGTGTATGTATTTGGAAGAGGTTCACTACCAAACACATCATCCAAATGCATTCCGTCTAAAACAAGGTCGTAGTTGATGCACAGGCTCCAAATTTTGTTGGGTGAGAACAGGTCATCAAGAGTGTAGAATGAACCCTTAGGATATTCTAAATTAAAAATTGACATCAGATTTGCTTGAATTCGCAGGAATAATCAAATCCAGCGTATATCTTGACGTAGAGGATGGTCATCGTCTATGGGTCTCAATGTGGTTTGAATCCCACTGTCCTGACAAACGAGATCTTCTGAGTCAACTTTGAAGTCGGGTTGTCCAGGTGGCACGTCCTGCTGGAGGACCAACTTGGTGAAATTTGATTGAGTCAAGATTTTCTGTTGAGCCAGGAAAAAATTTGCAGCATTTGAATCACAGTTCAAGCAGCGGCACGGTGCCATATTGGCCTCGGCCTGCCGTTGAGTTTCACTCGTCACGGCTTGGTCATTTTTCGATACCGGTATGTAGTTACACCTACAACTCATCAAGTTATTTGACGAAAGGAGTCAGCATCAGCACGGACCTGATAAACCGAATGTGAAAAGCATATCACTCACCGTAGTAGGACCTCAAAAGCCACCCGTAAGCATACCTCAGTGGTAGACATAGCAAGCATATGATGATCGTGGTCTTGCAGACTCTGATGTGGCAAAACCAAAAGCGAATCCTTGTCAGTCTGCGACAATTGATTGACTATCAAAAAAGCCACAGCTGGTCGCCCGTCTCGACCGCCTCGACCGGCCATTTGCAGCACCTCGAGCGGATCCAGCTGGCCCATAATAATCACCCTTCTCACACGTGTCCAGTTTTGGCCAAGGCCAAGAGCGTTAGTACAGGTCATTACTGAGAAAACCCCCTTTCCAAAATCCTGCGCTTGGCGAATCTTATCAATGGGACAGGTTGAGGCGTGATAACGGCGAACTGAGGTACTCAAGCCATTGCTCGAATCGATTTGGTTTTGGCGGGCTGAATTAATTGCCTTAAGGGCTAAGTAGGTGTCGTTTTGTGTATGACAGTACACAAGAGTGGGTACAAGCTCGGAATCAGTCACGTTGGTTTTAGGTGCAAAGAATTTCTTGAGCAAGTCCATTGACACTGCACAGATGTAGTATTTTTCGGCTATGCAAAATGATTAGAATTAATGTCAAAAATGATTAAAAATGCTATGTTAATGCATAAAAATGCACCATTAATGCACCATTAATGAAAAAAAATGCAGCATCAATGCAGAAAAATGCAGTGTTAATGCACATGAAGAATGAATGCAGAATTCCACCTTTTTCAATTTTGTTTGTCCTTCAGGTCAATCATTTTTCACTTGGGAAAAATACTACATTTGCCCAGTGTGAAGAACATCCGTGTCTGAGGGTGACCAGGATGAAACGGATCTCTGGTCGTACTAGTTCGCTTCGATGAATGTCAATGCTATCTCTGGTGATTTTGAGACTTGCAACAATTTGGTCGAAGTTGCGAGGAGGACAAGTTGCTGACATAAGTAGAGTTGGTACTGCTTCTGTGGCTAGAAACCGCTCCACTAGGTTCCCGTATGAAGGCCGAAAAGCAGTGCGATCTTGCGGGATCTGAAAACATCGGTAATTTTTGATTCTGCCCGACAAGGCAAGGCCCCAACAGTAGATGAGGTGAGCCTCATCTACGACCTTGAGCACCAAACGGTTACGGAATCCCTTGGAAAAATAGAGACGTTCGAATTGAGAGTTATTCAAGAAAATTTCTGGCGACTATGTTAAGCACATGTCCGGTCAGCTCAGGAATGATTCAAAAACAATCAAGATCAATTTCAGGGCTTACCACATAAATAAATTGGTATTTTCCTGCAAGAATCTCTTTATACACAGCTTTCGTGAAAGACGCCCGTGTCAGGTTGATAGCACTCAGACCATTTCTAGCCTTTTCTTCAACCTGTCCAAATGCCCGATAAATAGTGAGTGAAAATGATTATAGAACATCAAACAGAGACACATTTGAGAAACTTACTTGATTATCTCCAAGCGCGTCTAAAGGATTCAAAGTCAAGATGATAGGCGCACATGCTTTGGTGAACATTAGATAGAATAATTCCGGTATTCGAGACTTGCCATACCCGGTACTCGCGATGAGAAAAACATCCTTTTTTCGAACGAGACTCATAGTCGAGTCGACTTGCAAGGCTCGAGCAATCATTTTGAATATGTTGTAAAATAAGTCTCGTATCACTTTTCGTTGTTCTTCATCGTCATCCTTGAGCAATGACTTTGAGATTGTTGGCCGGAACTCTTGAGGGTCAGTTTTGGTGGCTGCTGGTGCTGCGGCTGGGGTTCTTGGGGTTCTGCAAACATCAGGCAAAGGCGGAATAATAGCACTCCGAGAGCGAGTAAGCATGACGTAGTTAGTTGGAGTGCAAGTGAATGCGCATCGATGATCACGGTGGCATCTTATAAGTTATGTACGGCAGACGCGTCACCCCCCTAACCCTTACTGCTAAGGATTACTGCCATTAGGTCATAATACTTTTATGTCTTATGACAGTTTCCACCCAGGATAAGGATTTGTCCGGATTCGCCCGAGGTCAAATCGGTCAAATCAGATTGATGGCCTGTACACCCGTTCTTAGGCTGTTACAGGAAGACATAGGGACCATATTTAGTCATGCCTCCCAAATATGCAAAACAAGTGTGTTTCTGATGAAAGTAGTACCAACTTATGTAGACAAATGTAGAGAACAAGACACGAGAAACATGGAAATTTTTGTGGAGAGGTTTTGAGGTGAAGTTGAAGAAAGTACATAACGGTACTTAATTCTTGGAAGTCCTCCGCCAAAAATCGCGAGTCCGCGATAAGCCCCTCTTCGAGGTCGCGGACGTGGCCGCGGAAGAGGGGCTTAGTTAAGCTTATGGAATTTGAAAGGTATCATTCCATGCCCGCAGCCCAAGTCTCTCAAATTTCAATGTTGATCAAGCTGTTCAAGCACTACCACTTTCCACCACACTTCAATGTCATCCCCTCCTGTTCAACAAGATCTCGATCCAGTCCCTACGTCTTCATCAAGTCTGTTTTTCAAAAAGAAACGCAAGACTCCTAGCAACCTCAAGTCACATACACCGATACCCGCAGATCACACATCAGCTGCAGACGACCCAGACACTCAACCCGATTCAGCCGACGAACAGTTGAGTGCCTTTCAATCCTACCTCACTTCCTCACCTACTTATTGTCAAAAGCAACATTTTTTACTTTACATAGTTTATCAGAATCTGGATCTACCCCGACTATCGAAGAGATCATCGCGCTCCGGAAGCTCAAAAAGTCTCGTGGTGGAATTGATCTTGAAAGATTGAACGCAGGTCAACCTAAGAAGAAGAAAAAGAAACGTACCACTAAAGGTGCAACAGAAGCAGAAGAGCAGATTGATCAACCGGATATCGAAGAATATGGAGTACAGGATGGTTCTGCACAAAAGGACGATAGGATGGAAGAAGAGTTGCGTCCCAGCGGTTTCACACATCATGTTTCACAAATGAGTCTACATGTTGGGAACGAATACTGAACTTTTATCATCTTTACCACTCTTGATTCATTCATCGTAGAGAACCTGAAGACGAAGATGCTAGAGCTCGCAAGATCATCAAATCCAACAACTTCACACAACAAACGAACACCTTGGACGTCGACAAGCACATGTAAAGCACTCTTTTGACTATCATTGCCTCTAGTACAAATAAGACTGCATTCTTATCTCATTTTTGTCTGCTGTACAGGATGCACTACATCGAAGAAGAGTTGAAACAACGACGAAAAGCTGCCATTGCGGCAGGTGCAGATGAGTCATCAGAGCCAATTCTCACAGGCGCAGAAGCTGTCGCCTCACTGGATCCACGTGATGAACTTTACAAAATTGCTGAAAAGTATCGCATTGATAGAAAGCCAGTAGTGGAAGGCAATGTGACGCTGAGTGCTACAATGTTGACTTCAATCCCTGAAGTGGACCTCGGAATCGAGTTTGTAACCCATCCTGCTCCTCTACTGTTTCTTCCTGGAATGGTAGTGCTCGTCATTTTCTTCATGTGTGCTGATCTTCAGGTTTGATTTGAAACAGTACCCGGATTAAAAACATCGAGGCCACTGAAAAGGCAAAACGCAAACTAGCCGATGAACGCCTCTCCAATGCACAATCTTCTAGACCTTCCCATTCTTCTTCCTCTGTAAATGCTGATCCCAACAAGGAACATTTTGCTGCCGATCGATTCTTATTACCCAATCACCTCAAGCAGCAAAATTGGGCTTCAGATGTTGACTCACTTCAAATTGCTAGATTAGAGAATGAAGGTTTAAGCGCAGAGGCAGAAGCGATGAGGAAGGATATGAAGAAACGTGCTTATCAGTTGAAGTATGGTAATAACAATCATGGTGGTTCAGGTCAACGAAATCATGGGGCAAAGGGTACACAGGTTGCAACAGATGATAGGGCAGTTGAAAACTTTCGGAAACGGATGGGTGGACGTCGGTAGCGTGTGGATGACATTCTTTTTTTGGTTTTCTTGACAAAACAGAATGTTGGCTCTCACGTCAGATCATTGTAACGTTATAGTGTTTCTATTGTGTAATGAATTTCCAATCTCTGTTGCAAGTTTAGTGACCTTCTGTTAGCTTACAGACAGAGTGATATCATTGAGCAATTTATTTCGGGGGTATGGTGAGTGAACTGATTTAGTGATTTTGGAGTTCACAGATCTGGTTATCCGACGTTACCGGCCTAGTATCAAGATGTCATCTGAGTGAATGTGTTTCACGTCACCAGCGCAAGCGGGGTTATTCGAGGTCATCAGCCTACCACAGGATGAACTCAATTAATTCCAAAGCTGTAGGATTTTGATTTTTCTGGGACGTCATCACTATTCCTCACGGGTGAATGATGATATAATCATTGTGAAATTGGTGTGGATTCTTCTTCAGCCATATCATCCAAGCCATCGGTTACTCAAGCAACACGGTATGCTTCTACCATTGATAGTGAACACCAAGCTTTGTCTTATGTACTATCCTTTGCCGAATGTATGAACATCACGTGATAAGCTTCTGCCTGTTAGTCACGAAATGAGAAGGTGATGAGATAGAAAAGCACAAGCTCTTAGCATTGCTACTTTTTTGAGAGACCCCCAATCTTGTTATATACACCTTCATCCGCTGTGCAATGAAGGTCAAGGAACTGACGCTATAGTCAATGGTGTGGTCTTCAAGGGTAGAGGAGTTTTTATAATCTTCACACACTGTGCAATTCCATCATAATTTTGAAGTTTCTGGCAGTTCAGACACAAAGCATGACCTTTGGAAAAACGCCTATCACTGCATGATACTTGAAATATGAGACCAGCCGCCAAAGTTCAAACAAGTGCATGCATGGCTATGCAGGATATGTCGTAGCGTTTTTTTTTTTTTTTTTTTTTTTTACTTTAAAGTGCTATTGATTTCACATATCGCACTACTAATCTGTATGTCTACACCAGGGGGTAATGGTCCTCGGCCTCGGCCGGTTCCTGTGACGATTTCAAAGGTTTCGTCACAAGAACCGCCCAGGAAGGTGTGGAACCGGTTTTGCCGAAACCGTTTTGGACACCGTTCCACCACCGCTTCTGGAACGAGCTGCATGTCAGCAACCGTTTGAGAACGGCTGCTGAGGCGGTGGTGGAGCGGTTTGTTTGACACCGATTGCAATCGGTGTCGAGCTGTCAATGTATGAACAGTGACCTTATGAAAACGGTCACGGATGAAAGTTATGTTTCAAGAAAACAACTCACACTGATTGATTGTGCCACCGATAAGGTCACAATCGATCTGAATCACCATGTGTTGAACAAAGCACTACCTGCAAAAAGGCATTGTCCTTCACAAGCAGCACATGCAAAAACATCTACATAAACCATCAAATCTCAATCCTCGATCTTCAACTTTTACTCAAGATTCCTTAAAACGTGGAATGAACTCAAAAGCTTTAGCTGAAGATGAAACAGAACTTGCTAGGATTCAAAAAGTTATGGATGATGAAATTTGGGGTAAGACTTCTTTCGTCTCACCAAACTATATCTTTATCAACATCTTACTTTGACATTGATGATTGAATTCTTCTGTGTATTTGGGTGTTAAATAGAGAAATGGAGTTATGCTCATATGATCCATGGTTCAGGTTCTTGAGCTGCTGAAGTCTTGAGTATCTCGACAGTTGCTTAAACAATCAATTTGAAACCAACATCATTTCCTCAACTCCATAGTCAATCGTTTCATCAAATTTGTAAACTCAAAGCTTTCAATCTCATTCTTTGCAACTCATATCAAACTCATAATGAACAAATCCGAATGGCTAAAAATGAAAATCAAATCAAATCAAAATGTCAGTAAAGTTCTAGTTTTTTTTTGGTTCTTTGGGATGTGAAGATTTTAGAAAAATTATATACTTTTTCAACAAAATCAGATGACATTCCAAAAACATAATGAAGGTATTGAGGAATTTTAGTTTTATGAATTGGTTGACAATTTGAATACAAATTGATTTGACACAAGGAGATATATGTGCGTGACCCCTATGGTGTAGAGGTGAATGGCTCTGGGATGACTTGAGCTGGTTGCGCTGATCGGTTTTGAGCCTTTGTTCAAGTCTCCCTTTTTGCAAATTCTACGCCGTACCCTCAGAACGTTCCAGGAACGTTCCAGGTCTCGTTCCAGGGACTGTGTTCAGTGGTCACCAAGGCGGTTTGCTTGCACCGCCAAAAACAGTGATGGGAACCGCGTTTGTGCGGTCCCATCTGAAATCGTCTCAGAAACGACGCAAATAGTTCAAAACTGTGACGGCAGGAAAACGGTTTCGAAAACCGTTTTCTTGCCGTAGGTTTACCCCCTGGTGTACTGTAAAACATAAGTGGCTCTCAAACCTGCCCCGGTTTTCAAAAAACCCAGTTGACCCAGTTGTTTTTTGGCAGTAACTTTGTGTATCAAGTTGACATTTGTCGACAGCTCCCAGCCAAAAATTCAACTGGGGCAACCGGGTTTTTTGTAACTGGGTCAGGTTTGAGAGCCACTATACTACTGTTTACAACTTCTTTTATTTTTCCGATTGTTCCGGACTAACACCGTGGGAAGTAACAAGTTTGAAACCCGATTGAGCAGAATTTCGGTGTCCAGGTTTGAAATTTTCTCGAATCTTGAAATTTGTTCACAACTTGTTCGCATTAGGTTTGCCAATTCTCCTCAAGTTGTCCTCCGCTGGCCCCGTGTGTGTACAACACATCATAAACAACAACACCTTTCAACATCACTCACCTTCACCCTCACTTGTATTAGTAAGCCTGAGGATCTGTGACAAGGGGAGAGATAGTCTGATGGTTAGAATCAAAGGTTTTGAAGGCAATGTGTATGTGTGTATGTATGTGTATGTATGTGTATGTATGCAATGGTGTACTCGAGGGAAATTGGCAAACATAATGCTAACAAGTTGTGAACGAGATTGACAATTCGAGGAAATTTTGAACCCGGTCACCAAAATTCTGCTCAATCGGGGTTCAAACTAATAGATCCCCGCAGTGTAATATGTCGTAGCGTCGAAGCCGCTTCGGGCTTGAGCGGTACTTATTTTACCTTACATGTGAAGCTTACATACACAAGTCAATTAGATTGATGCTGACTGGTCGGGATTTCTCGAATCATTCGATCTATTCGATTACTTTTGAAGTGGCTTAGAATCAAGATCCCAGCCTTGAATCCTATTTACCAATGTGGACCTTTTCGCCAGCTAAACTTGGTCTTCAAGTTGCCACACTTTCTCTCAGATCGACTTCAACTCGAATTTCTCCAAGCTCTCTAGCCACATTCGCAACCTCTTCTCGCACAGCTTATGCTCAACATACCAAACCACCACACGATGGTTTACCAGCTTCCGAATTCACTCCGAATTTACCACCCTTTCGTTTCGGACCAAAGGCTCATTTAAGACCTTCTCATCCTGAAGAACCTATTACTACACCCTCGGATTACTCTACTGGACCAAGTGCACTTGACAAAGCTGCTAAATTGTTCTTTTTGACTGAGATTGCTCGAGGTTGGTTCTCACTTGATTTAGAGGTTTCGTCTTCGATCTAATCCAGAAGAGAATTGGATTGAAGGCGTCCTAAATCCATTTCTAAACAGAATCGCAGTATTGCTGACATTGAAAATTGCTCCGCGATGAACCTCCGAAATAGGGATGTGGGTGGTCTTGGAACAAATGTTCCGACCTCCTTTCACAATCATGTAGTTGCGTTTTTTGGAATTCTCTCTTTGTATCTTGACACTTTGACCATTATCCAAAGATGTCCTATATTGACATTATATTCTTTGTTTAAAATCGCTTCGATACGGATAGTCCTTTCGAAAAAGGCCCAGTATCACCACGTTTTAGAGGAGAACACGCTTTGCGTCGATACGCTAGTGGCGAAGAAAGATGTATTGGTAAGGATACTTGAATATCTTCTTCTCTTTCTTTATCAAGTGTCGACAATGGCAAGTGGAATTGACATATTCGATCGTTGGGTTTTCTAGCCTGCAAACTTTGCGAAGCAATCTGTCCAGCACAAGCTATTACGATCGAGAGCGAGACGCGATTGGATGGAGCACGTCGAACTACTCGATATGACCTTGGTCGGTTGCCAAACCTTTACCCATTTGTGGCTTCGTGAATCTGATGTCACCTTATCTTTCTTGTGGCTTTTGAATATCAGATATGACCAAGTGTATCTACTGCGGTTTTTGTCAAGAAGCGTGCCCAGTCGATGCTATCGTTGAGTCCCAAAACACTGAATACTCAACTGAAACCCGAGAAGAGTTGTTATACAACAAGGAGAAGCTTTTAGCAAATGGCGATCGTATGGAAGCTGAAATGTTGAGTGTCTCTTTTCCAGTGTTTCTATGTTGATGAATAGCTTGTTGACTCTTGGTTGCCCTGCTTCTTTCCTTTTAGTGCTGCGAATTTACATGCCGATCATGTATATAGATAGATATTTTTGGAGTCCGCTTTCTTTTCTTCTGCAATGAAGCAGTTTGTTCTTTTTTTACCTCATTTAGATATCGCAGCTTTCAACCTCATCCTTCATATGCAACTCTGGCAAGTATCTCTCGTGCGAGTTGTATACGCAAGTGGACCACAGGGTGTACATTGCTCGATCGGCTCACTCAATACATACTGTGGGATGTAACATGGGTTGTTCTTCGTGAATATATCACAGAGTTTGAGGGCTATACTAGACTTTGGTATCCTGACCACAGATCGTGTTAGGCCAAGCAGAGTAAAGTTTTATGATTTTCTCAATCTTGACCACATTTTTTCATCCAGAAGAATGAGTTACAAACTCTGGCCTTGTGCTATGGTTGATACCATCAAAACCTAAGAAGTGTCCTATTCTCCTGACTCACTACTCTTCCCTCAAGTCTTCACCCTGGTACATCAAGGGATTTCCTCATAATTTCTTTGCAACCCGTGGGAAATGTGTTCTCTTCTTGAATAAATGATTCACAGGCCCTAGCCATGCATTGGCAAAAAAGAGACTTTATCTTTGGAGACAAACGGCAAACAAACCAGATTGTTTTCACAATAAATACAGTGGTCCAGCAATCTGGGAATGTTGATGCCACCCCTGCATCTTCAGAAAGATAGACACTGAGTTGTCTTGGATCTTTATGGTATCTTTGTCAGTCTTTGTTGATGGCAACAACCATTGAATCTTTCATATAGGCTTATACTCTAATGTTGTAGTCTTTCTATCACTCTATTGTTGTGAATGTAACCTGCATCCACTACAGTCAACCCTCCACAAAGGAATACCTTTTGGGTGCATAATCCATCTAGATGCATTAGATTTTATGGAGTTTTTGCCACCAAGATCAGATATACAAAGGCATATTGCTCCAAATGTGTAAGACAATCAAAGCGTCAAAGCGTATCCGATTAGAGGGAGTTGACTGTAATCTACTGAACTTTACTCTCCAGTGTGCATAAAGTGCTGATTTTGATGGAGATTAAGTCCAATAAATTTTGGCCCCTGACACATTCTGCTATTCACACTATGGGTTTATAGCCCAACAAATTGCACAGCTGTGTATATTGTGTTTGTAATTGTCTGATAATACTCTAGCTATTGATTTGCCCAAGAACTTTTCACTGAGATTTCAACGTGGCCTACCACAAAGCTTGGATATGATCAAAATTTGTGGGATTGGTGATTGATGATGAAGTGGACCTGGTACTCGAAACATGTATTTGACTTTAAGTTAAGTTTACCCATTTTCATTCCATTTTTAAACTTGATTTGAAAATGCAACATATAATCAACTGTGTAGATGTAATCAGTGCTTCCAAGGCTGCCTTTACGTGGATAGAAAACTCTTTTAGGCAGACAGTATTTTTGGTGGACAGGGTGCTAAATTGTTTGTTTTCAAAAATGAATTGCTGGCCATGTCAATGCAAGAATCAGGTGAAAATGAGATGATTAGTGTGATTGATAGTAAACATACCTTGATGTAAGGAGTCTTTCAATGATATATCACTTGATATTCAGATCTTGCACCCCAGACCTTTCCACTGGTAATTTTTTAATTTCTTCTTGCTTTGAAAGTGCAACCAACCACAGAAGGATAAAAGGTTTTGTGTTAAACATCATTCTAAGCGACTCCACTAGATGACTATGATTGATTAGTAAAAGGTAAGTTTTTCCCATATAGTGTAATGGTTGGTTTGAAAGCATTTGAGCTCATGATTGGCATATATAATCCAGAAACCTCTTCTGAATCTTTTTAGTGGCACTGTTTTCTAGACACCATTTTTGCAAAGGTCTACCAAAAAATGTAATTCTTTACAAGGTTTGCTTTTCAGATTGTTTTCTTCAATGTAGAGAACATTGAAACATGGCTAGGCTTAAGGAGTAGATTTGTGATCTTGTGACCAAGTTACTGCACATTCATCTTTGACAGGATCAAGATCCAAGATCCAAGATCAACAGTTGTATTGTATCTAACAGTCTTGGATTATTTTGAGCCACATGGCGCTTGATCCCAGTGGGTGTTTTATCCCATGGTGCTCCTTCACCTGATACTTTGTAAAAGATATGGCCATCAGATTCATCAGCTCAACCACCTCAATTGTCATCAAGAAATTTTGATCTTTATCAATGCAAAACATCAATCCCCCTGGTCTACCAACAACTCCAACCCCAATGCCATATACAAGATTTGACTCACAACCTGCATCACAGCTGTCTAATGTCTCTACACTTAAACCCTTTCTATTGTTTTTTGCAGTTGTATTTCTTGGATCAAACAGGACTTAGTTTGTTTCAGAAATGTCTAGGCTACATACCAATTATCTATTGGGTAAAATAGGAAATTTTCAACCTTCACCCCATACCCATTGTCACAAATAGATTGGGATTAAGGTCAAAAGTTCAATATGAGTTTTGTTCTTCTTGACCCAATCCGTTGGTTTATCTTTCTTCAGCTCATTTTTTTTGGAGTATTTGTAGATTAATATTAATTTTATATGCACTCTGGTTTACTCTTCCTCCATATATTAGATTTAAAATCATAAAGTCGTCTGATTGAAGGCATGTTTAGTTCAATTGTACTCCCTGGAATAAACTACATGAATGTTCATCAAAAGCTTGGTGCTGATTACCTTTGTAAAGAGAAACATGCCAGCCAAGAATCATAGGGCCAACTCAGGCAATCAGAGATAAAAGGAATAGTTCTAGTATGCAAGATCACTTTGGTGTTTGTTATTGACAAAGCGTAGGTTGGTTGATGGTAATGAAGGTAGTGAATCAAGAGTGGGCAGCAAACATGATGTGAAAGTACACCACAAACCTCCTCTTTTGAAACTTCACCCATGGTACTTACAAAAACATGAAATAACTAAGCCCAAAAGTGCTGGGCCAAATTCCCCAAAGGAATAAAATACATCATGTCCAAAACAAATCACCCTCCTAGGGGTGGCTAGTGGTCTACAACAAAAAGTGTAACTAGAATATATTAAGAATGTAAAAATGCAAAATGACTGCTTTATAAAGACAACTATAACATCCACTATAAAAGTCAACTTGAAACAACAACTATGATGCTGAATGAGCTTGATGAACAAGTGAAATAAACTGAACAAATTTTTTTGGTGTTTCAAAGGACTTTTCAGAAAGAACAGAAAACACCCAATACTAGCAACACAGAACCAACCCTGTGCCAGCAATGCAATGTGCCACAGCACACCCGTTTTTTGATGTGTTGCTCCGCAACACGCAACACCAACAAGCAGCAGACGTTGCATTGCGGGAAGTACCGCAACGACAAAAGTCAAGGCTAGGCTGCGCGGCGCCTCAACAGTTGCGCAACGCAACAGGCGCAACAGCGCCAAAAAAACATCAATTTGTAAGTTTTTGGGGGCAGCAACGCAACAAACATTGTTGCGGCCCCAAAAAAACACTAATCTGAGCGATCTTGTTGCACTGCGGGTCAGGCCGCAACCTGAAAATTGATTCTGCGGTGCGGTGCGGTCAGAAAAACCGCAACGCAACCGCAGTGCAGCATGCAACACCTGCGTTGCTGGCCCAGGGTTGACAGAACATCATGAAAAAACTTCAACCAAAAGGGAATGAGGAAAGGCTTTGAAAAATCAGAACACCAAGATTGGATCTTTCAAAGAAATTACAAATAATAGGATGGTAAAGAAAATGGTGATTGTGGTAAACAGCAATGTCATCAATTAACTTTGATAGTTAATATGACAAAATCAAAACCTGGTCCAAACAATTACAGAAATTTCTACACAAGCACCTATCTCATGACATTCCAATCACAGCCATTCCAAGAAAGGTTTTTTATGAAAAATTCTCCCCTGTGCAAAACAGATACTTGAGGTTCTGCTTGGTTCTTTCTTTTCACAAAGTTAAGCAAGAGAAGGAAAGGGATCCTCCAATGACAATCATGTTTCCTTGTGACCATTCTTTTCACATCTTTTGAGATACATCTGCTAAATCCTTGATGATCTTCATTTGGTTTTCATGGCTAGCAGCAAGAACATTCTTTTCTCATTGGTTAGTAAGATTTGACTGTTATGGTTACACGGGTCGTGAAAGAATCTCAATAGACAACCAGAAGTGCCTGATATCCGTCATCTCGTTAGATAACTCGTGAGACTGGTCATTACATTGACATAGTCTGGCCATGGCAAGGTGTACATCAGATGCAGGCAAGTCAATTCTAGAGAAGGCTGGCAAAAGTAGTCACAGTCATTTTATCTGCTGCACTGATGAACTTTTTACAAATCAATCAACCATTCTTGGAAAGGCTGTAGTAATAAATAACAAGTTACCTGCAGCCATTTTGACAATGATTGTTTTTTTTTGTGAAAATTTGCATTGCCGCAGTGGCCAAAACCAATCAAAAATCCTTTCACAGGGTTTTGTAAGGAATACACGTGTAGGATTTGGAGTATGGGGCTAGACTATGGGGTTATGTAGTTGGAGTTATATATCTCTCTTCCACGCCGACTCTAGATATTTAAATTCCTCACTTCTTGGAGAACCACTCCTGGAACTGTCTGGAGTTAGGTGAGCTATTTCATTTTAGTGTTGTGCTTTTGGGTTTCCGTCCTTTCTATTTACTTTGATTTCCCGGAGAACCATTCCTGCCACTGGACATATCTGGAGTTAGGCCCTAACTCGAAATAAATGCACAGAAGTTCTATGTTAGCGCTGTCGAGCAGGTCTTGATAGTGAAGATCTCTGTCCCTTAGTGAAGGTCTAAAGCAACAGCTTACAGGTTTGTATACCCTCTGTATTCTTAAAATTAGCAGAGATCCAAATTTGGTCAAAAAGAAGGCCAGATTTTCCACCATCGTGCAGTTTTCAAAAAAATCATTCTTTCTCCAATTGGCTCTACGACTATAATTTTCCTCACTCTGATCCCCAGACCTTGGAAGCCATGAGCTTACCTAAGCTATACTTGAGCCCTTACACAAAGCATCAGCAAATGTTCAAGTAGAACAAGACCAAGGCTGATGGCCCTCAAATACTGTGATTTTTTCTACTTTTCTACTGATAATCCTCTGACTAGCTGTCTAGGTTCTTTGTGTTATACTAGCTTCACTCACTTAAAAGTCGGGAAATTTCATTGAGCTCTCAAATGTCACTCGTGATGTTTTTTTTTCGCTACTTGCCTTTTCTTCATGTTTAGCCTTTTTGTGATCATGTCATCCCACACCCTTTTTATCGTCGAGCCCTCAACTCCATCTGTTGACCCCCCAGTCTGGAGCCGGGTGTTCCGCCGGTTGCTGAAAGGAGGGTAGTGAGGAAAAGGGTCGGAATGCGACTTTTTCGCAAGCATTTTCCACGAAAGGGTCAGAGTTTACATCACTACCCTGAAATTTTGACTCCTCCGTGTATATTTTTGCTTCTTTAGCTCCACTTTGATCTTTGATCCTTCTGACACCTCTGACTTCAACTTGTCTTATTGCGCTGTGGACTTTACACAGCTTGCCGAGATTTCCAAGCCAAATTGCTCAACTTTTGCAGGAAAACTTGAACAAGCTTTGTGAAAATGACAGTGCTGTCTTTTATGTTATTTGCGTTATTTTTCATATACTAACCAAAGTTCTGTTTAATTTTCTATCTCTATTCTTTTTTTCGTCTTCTTTTCAGTTAGTGTTTCGAATTCTAATGTGCTGTGAGTCCTCCACTTTGTCCCTGCTTCATTATTTTTTTTATTTACCAACTGAGGTTACTGTTCTTTTTAGTTTTCTATTTCTATTCTTTTTATTCTGTCTTCATTTACGTTTTTGTTTGATTTTTGAATCAGTTGCAATTTAGCTCAGCAACTATTCTATTATGGTTTTATCCGTTACTTGGCAAATAGCTGGGCTCTAACCCTCGATTCCAGCTGATAGCTCGAATTACCCAGGATCCCATATTTATTGGTGATGAGTGATGAGTGATATGAGTGCTGTGATGATGTGGATGGATGGTGATTTATGTAAACTGAATTGGTTGAATTGGTTTCATCTTTCTATAAAACTTCAGCTCGACTCATGTTTCTATCTCTCCTGAGTTCTACTTCTTCATCATGTCTCATTCACTACTTTCTGACTTACCACGTCTCCTTATCCTCGATGCTGATGACTCTTACACCAATAACATTCTACCTCTCATATTGAGTGACTTTCCGATTGACTCTCCTCAAAGAGCTTTACTGGAGAACCGAGTGGTAGTCATTCGAGTTGGCAACATTGACTGGTCAGTCCATGATCACTTTGTTGTTATCTCATTATATCTCTGATGCTGACCGTTTTTTTACAGGCAAACCCTCACCAATCAAATTCTTCCACAATTTGATGGCCTGATCCTAGGACCCGGCCCCGGCCGACCTGCTTCATCCTCTGGTGTGTCTTCCAGTGGAGATTCTCAACAGGCATCAGGGGAACATCCTTCGACAATCTTTACTCGGCTATTTTCTTCGCAACCTTTACCGGCTCTCGAAGGACGTATATTACCTACTCTAGGAATCTGCCTTGGTCATCAATCACTAGGTTGTGCCTTTGGTGGAAAAATTGGTTCAGCTCCACGCGTTATCCATGGCCAATTATGCGAACTCGAACTTGAAATCGATCCAGTCACAGGTTCAGGAAAAGCTATCTTTGAACAACTTCAATCTTCAACTCAAGTTGTACGATACAATAGTCTTGTTGTGGATCCTTCTGGACTAGATCCTGAGTTGGAGGTCACAGCTTGGGCGAGTGATGGAGCAAGTCGATCTGTGATGGGGCTCAGTCATCGTTCACTTCCGTTTCATGGGGTTCAATTTCATCCCGAAGTAGGTCTCTTCTCGCTGTCCAATTTGGATCAATCTTTGGTTGAGACGATTACGTACTGAGTAAGCTGATGGATCACGTTTCGGTATCAGTCGGTCTGCTCGTCTGGTGGCACTCAAATTTTGCGGAACTTTTTGGATTTGGTTGTTGCTTCAGGTCATCAGACCTCACCTCATACCTATACCGATCTTCCGCCTTCTATCCTTCGACTTTCGAGTTTGCCCAATCAATATAACGTCCCGAGCCCTTTGCTCCCTATTCAGGAATCTACAGTCCCGTTTACCTTTCAGCTTCGTGCTCATCAGCTCGGCCCTGCTTCGCCTTCTCCCCAGGAAGCCTTTCAGCGCATTTTTCTAGGGAAAGGCTCATTGGGCGAGATTTGGCTGGACTCGGCCGATAGTCTGACTGCAAGAGAGGATCGATTTTCCCACTTGACCAATCCTGATGTGTTACTGTCATACTTTGCTTCAACTCAGACGCTTTGTATAACTTCCTCAGACCTACAGCAGCGACGTCAAGTCCTTGAAGCACCAGGATTGTGGCATTGGCTTCGAAATGCTCAACAAATCTTGGAGGCGGTGACCCAGGTTGTTACGACTCCAGTATGCCCTCCAGTCGGTTTCTTGGGGTACTTTGGCTATGAACTTTTATCCGAGTCCCTGGTCGGTCATCGATTGCCATGTCGTGGGCTGAAGGAAGACGAAGGTGTACCAGACGCCGAGTTAGGCTTTTCCAACTCTGTCCTGACGTATGATCATCAATCCCAAACCTGGTGGGCCGCGGCACTGGTGAGGATGACTCCCAAAGAGTCTGACGCCTGCCAAGTATCTCAACAACTTGAGCAACTCTTCGGTCTTCCTCTTGGGCTCAGTCATTCGGAATACGCGACCTGGAAATCCGGTCTCGATAAGACATTTTCAGTCTGGACAACTGAACCAAGTCAACATGTCCAGCCTTCACTCCCACTACCCTTCCCACGTTGTCTTGTAAGCGAGGGAGACTATTTGGATGCTATTGAAAATGCTCAGCAGCAAATTATCGCAGGGGAGTCATATGAACTATGTTTAACGACGAAATTCATCACCGAACTTCCATCACTCCCAGCACCTGTAGCGCCCAATGGAGATCCCCCGACATCAAACCGGCCGGACAACGGATCTTCCGCCCTTCGTGGCCACTACGATATGTATCTTACTCTTCGTGAAAAGAATCCAGCTCCATACGCAGCCTATGTCCATTTCCCAACTTACGATACCACTCTGCTCTCCTCTTCTCCTGAACGATTCTTGCGCGTGAAAGAGGGATGGGTGGATATGAAGCCCATCAAAGGGACAGCTAGAAGAGTGTTAAATGATCTGGAGGCCGATGCAAAAGTGGCAGAGAGCCTGCGAACAAATATAAAAGAACGTGCCGAGAACTTGATGATCACTGATCTTATCCGACATGATCTAATTCAAGCTTGTGATCCTGAGACAGTCCAAGTCACCAAGTTAATTGCAATTGAAACAGCTGCAACGGTTCATAGTCTAGTAAGCACTATAGTAGGTAAATTAAGGAAAAACTTAAATGCAGTAGATGCACTTTCAACTACTTTTCCACCAGGGTCAATGACAGGTGCTCCAAAGTTAAACTCAGTTGATATCTTAGATCGACTTGAAAGTAGTCAACCACGTGGGATTTATTCTGGTATACTTGGTTTTTTTGCTTTAGACGGATCTTGTCATTTCAATGTTGTGATCAGAACGGCTGTGATTCGTAATAGACGTAAGTGTTACCATTACTCAGTTTGGATATTTATCAATCGATCAATATTTTAAAATATTGATTTCATTTTACCTTTTGCTTTCGTCCTCAGATCTCACTATTGGGGGCGGTGGTGCGATTACAGCCCTTTCGAAGAAAGAAGACGAATGGGCAGAAGTCTGTACAAAGGTTGAATCGGTGATGAAGAACTTTTCATGAAATTTAACCTCGACACAGAAGAACAAACTTGGATTCGCTCAAGACTTGTGTCAGATTTGTGATAGTTTGTAATTAGCCTCCACAGTGAATTTCTATTTAGCATAGTTGATATAGATATCGGGAAGTGTGTTATTTTCATAACTAAGCTCAATTCATTACGCATAGACCTCAGCGACTCGCACATCGAGTAACTTTAACATGAAGAAGCATCCGGCTGATTCCTTTTGTTCATGCATCGTTATTTTATTATATTTTCTGTCTCGTTCTTGGGGTTGTCCCTGTCTCCCACTTTGTCCTTTCACGAGTGTGCTCGCTGCTCAACCTGAGTGGTTCTCACAGGTCAAACTTTCCCAAGATGATCTACGATCGATCTGTTTGTTCTATCTCTGCAGATGGTTTTTGTCGTTTTATTTTTGTCGTTTTTACCTGTTATCTTGTCTGAGATTAAGACCTCCTGATCATGTTGTCTACACGGAGGATCCTTTTTCTTATCTTTTCTCATTTTCTTCTTATGGTTGTACGCGCCTTGTCGTGGAGGGTGTTGTACTCTCACGCCTGCATGGTACGACCGTGGCGCATTCCAATCAGACTCATATAGAGGCGGATGCTCAGCTGAACATCTGTTTTCTATAGATATGCAATATATTTTACTCCTGTGAAACTCGGAGCTGGTGTCTTACAGCTGAGCATCTGTCTACTATAGGTATGCAATATATCTTACTCTTGTGGAACTCGGAGCTGGTGCCTTAAAGTTACAGGTGAGCATCTGTGTACTATACCTTACCCAATCTTGAACTCACACAAGGAATTCTTGTATGAAGATTGTAAAGTCAAACTGAGGCATTCAGAGCGTCAAGATGTGACATGTGGTGAAGCAAAAAAACTGGTCTCACAGGGCTCAAGACAGGCCAGTTTTGGACCAAAGTTGTGTTTCTGACATCATATGCATTGTGGTTGTAAAAATTCAAAAAAATATGCACGATGCTGACAGTGTTGGACACGGTTCATCATACAGCCTGAGGTTATACATATAATTATGATAATAAGGAAAAGCTAGAAAACAAGAACAAATCCAATCAATGTTGTTAAAATAAAAACATTGTTTCAATCCTTGATCAATGTTTTTAGAAATGTTTGTTTTGATTGTTGATGCCCATGATGCAAATATCACGTCTTCACTCACTGCTTAAGAAAGGGTGAATTTCCGCTGTGTTTCCGCCAATGTTGTGGTGGTCTGTCCAGAGAACTTGCTCTAAGACTTGATGTTACTTGATAGCCATCACAAAACATACATCATTTGGCTGACATTACATAGTGCACTTTCTACACTACAGGGGGTGCAAAACAAGAGCTTCATGTGAGCAAATGGTGCTGGGTCTCCCACTGACATGGTCTCTATCTAGATTTTGCACCACAGCATACAAAATTAGCCCAATATCAGCGGGAATGTTGTGTCAACCAATGGCAAAAGGGAGCATGATTGCTTTCAAGAGTCCTACAGAAGTGGGAAAGGTTTGCCAATGTCATGCAAAGACAATTTCACCTGATGGACATTTTAGCACTCCAAAAGCAAGCAGAGACTTGTTAAAGCATCCACTATGGGTGCGTTAACAACGTAATTCAGCATTTCAATAACACTAAAATCCAGACAGGTCCACTATGGACCTGTTTTAGACATGCGGTCCGCACGAGCGCGTCAAGTCTTGCAGTCCGCTTGTTCAAATCCTCAAAAGCCAATTTGATTTATTGTAAACTTTTGGCACATCAAAACGGTCAACAGCCATCCATCCAGCTCCACATCCAAGACTTCCACTTGACCACTACCCTCTGATTTCAAGATACCAACATATCAATAGTTGATCTACCCTCTGAACCCTCCAAATCATGTTGAGCTCGTTTTTTCAAAAAAGCGAGCTCACACAATTGATTTTACTCAAATTAAGCAAGGCAGTCTTGTTGCCCATACTCAACATATGATACCTGCAGTTGACAGGCATCAATCTGCCTGGTCACGAGAGCAGTCATTGGTGAGGAATGAGTGGCTGAGGTGGGTAAAATACAATATTTTGATTGGTGATTTTGCCACTGTGGAGTTGATTAAATTACCATGACTTATCATTGGTAAATCAGATGGTAAAACAGCTCATAGAACAGCTCATAGTAGATTTCATGTGTTTACTATTTTAGTTGTTACATGCATGATTAAATTTTGCGCTCAGGAACGCAAAACTTACAATAAAACACTGTCATGATAGTGGATGCTCTTAGAGCACCCACTATGGTTGCGTTAACTCGGTGATTTAGCGTTACCCTAACGCTAAAATACCAACATGTCCACTATGGACCTGTTTTAGACCTGCGGTCCGTACGGCTGCGTCAAGTCTTGCACTTCGTGTGCTCAGATTTACGCAAGCCTACGACTTGATTTATCGTAGGAACTAGGGAAAGCAGACGATAAATCATCCCATAGTGGATTTCACGCGGTTACCAACTTTGGTAAAACACGCATGATCAAACTTCGCACTCAGGAACGCAAACTTTACGATAAAACACTCCCACCATAGTGGGTGCTCTTAGTACTGTGTTTCATAGAGTCTGAGACTCTACATACTACATACACTGCAGACATTATTCGGGTTCCCCAAGTGGGCAGGGAAAAATGATTGGGAGTATGATTTGTCATAAAATGGTCTATCACTCCACACCTGAGCCATAACACCCACACTACATATGTGTAGCAGGCTCAGTGAATATGTGGTTATCATGTACATACAGTTCTGCTCAGTTATCTGCTCATCAGGACAAGTTATTCATATGTAATACATGCTGTAACTTCTTTCAGATTGAAAAAAGCTTCCAAAAGATTGACTACATACACTGACTCAATGTTTTGGTGTGATCTCATCAACTCAACTGCATGTAACACACTTTCTGTTACTAAGACATAGCTTCAACAATATTGCCTGAGCAGCTACAGAATTATATGTAGTGAATTTTTGGGAAAAAAATTTCAAAGTCGAAAAAGTTACATGTGGTATAACATGTGATTTATTTATTCTGATGGGCAAAAAACTGAGCAGACCTGTATGTACATGATAGACAACTATTGACTTAGCTTGCTGCACATATGTAGTGTGGGTGAAATGGCCCAGGTGTGCAGTATTAGATTCTTTTATGAAAAACTGTACTATTAATCATTTTCCTCTGCCAAATTGGGGAAGTTGAATGATGTTTACAGTGATAGGTGACTCTGTCATAGAGTGATGCAGATGCAATTGTATGCATTCCACTCACAAACAGACTATCACAAGCAAAAGATAAAGAGATGTGATTTTTCAAATGAGTCTATCTGTGATGTAAGTTTTTGCTAGAGTTGAGATATCAATTTGTGCAGACATATCTAAAGACTGGCTATGGCCAGTAATTGTTGGCTATGATCTGAGCAGCTGGTAATTTGTGCTGGAAGGCTGTTCTTCTTTTTGAGAAGTGCATGTTGTTAGTTTTTGCTTCATGATATGTACTGATGTTGCAAACATCTGCATTGGTCATAGCTTCAAAAAACCTTTTTGCTTTTGGACGTTGAAACAAATGTGCTCACTACAGAGGGTATATGTACCCTGTGGTTTCTGTGGTTTCTGTGGTTTCTGCATTTTCCACATTTTCTACATTTTCTACCTTGCCTTGGGGAGGCTCTGATGTTCTCATAGCCTAGGTCATGTTCCCACCAAGGAACCCATTTAATGCTTGCAGTGTCAGGAAATGTGTTTTTTATGACTAAGCTCAATTCATTACACATAAACCACATGGTTGGGTCTTTGATTTTTAAATGTGGTCATTGATGAGATGGCAATGCATAGCTTACAAGAAAAATAAGTTTGAAATGTATGAGGGTCTTTCTTTCTTTCTGCAAAACCAAGTTGTTCATCAAAGAAAAATAAGATGAGTTAGATGAAAATGAAACTCAAATTAATGAATGAAAGTTTTCATGTTTTATCTCAATTCTTCCTAGCATGTGCCCAAAGTATCTCCTTTGAACTCACAACAAGTGCCAAGTCAAATGGCTTCAAGGCAAAACTCAACTTTTCTGATCAATGTAAAACTTTAATCTTCAAAACCTCTACACTATGTACATAGATCTCCTTGATCACATTCAAAAAACATAGATCAAGGCAAACTTGAGACAAAAATTAGTTGATAAGATTCAAATCATATGAACAATTTGCTCAAATTTCAAGACCTAAATTAATCTCTAGTATTTTTCTTTGTTACCTGGGTAACTGCACCACCTCCAGTAACAGAAGTAGTAATTTTACCATTTGCACCATCCTCAACATACACTCTCGAGAAAAAGACTCCTTCATGAATATTCTTCTCTTGAATCCCTTTATGAGGTACATCTTTTCTTTTTTCAAGAGGATCCTTAGGGTCAGGGAGGGGACTAGCAAAAAGATTATAAGATGACTGAATGTAAGCTTTCCTGAAAATGGTACAGAGTTTTAGTGAAACAGGACTCAACAATTTAATTAGTTGTACATGGTATTCCCCAGTTTTTTGTATGTCTGCCACAACAGCCTTGGGAGAATTCTTAACAGGTCCAGCTACTTTTTTTAATTCTTTATCCCCTTCTGAAGCATAAACTGTAAGCGTACTATAAAGAATTAAACCCACAAAAGCATAATGTCAGTAGAGTTGTTAAGGCATAAATGTGAAATACGACAAATGTAATGAAAAATATTCAAGTAAATCCATTAGGCTTACTTTGCCTTCCAATCTACAGCAATTGCAGTGTTATAAAGTATACCATCTTTAAGAGGAATAGAATGAAGTACTTTTGTAGTTAAATCTCTAATTCTAATTGTTTTGGCATTTTGTTTACTTGGTTTTTGAGGATCAGCACTGAAATCAGATCCAGTAAAGATATCAAAAACATGATCACCTAGAATAGAAACAACGACTATCAGTTTCAAAATGTCTTCTTCAATAAACTTCAAACGTATAAACTAATTTACCAGTCTTAATTATTTCAGTTTTCCAGGATCAAGGAGTTATAAATCAAATCAATAATTCTCATCAATGGAGGATGGCTAAAGAAAATAGAATTAAACTCACTGGAATCTCAATACTAGATAGCAAATATCCATGTTTGGTGTTCAAAGGAAGCTTTGAGTCCATACGAAAGCTCTGAAATACATTAAAATAAAATGCCAGACAGTCTCATTAATCGAGTATGATGAAAAACTCTTTTTTCTTAGTGACCTACCTGATGAAAGACAGTTGTTCCAACAAACGTCTTACTACCATCAACAGCGGGTAAAACATCAGTTCGTCTATAAAAAATATACCAAAGGAACTTCATCAGATTAAGACTAGACTCATCAACCACAGAGACGGAGAGAATCAAACCTAAATCCGTTTTGACAATTATCAGCTTTGTCACCAGGACAAAAGATAGAAGAATCTTTGATTTGAATTCCAAGTTCAACTTCTTTACCTTTGGATTCAATCGATAGATATTCTCCACTTTTATCTTTTCCTTTTACAACAAATTTAATCAATTTCGATAAAGCTGATGTTTTAACATCTGCATCTGATCCTTTCATATCCTTTGTTAACTGTAAATCAAATAAGCGACCTGATCCTTTTGATTCTGCTGCTGTGATTGTTCCACAATAGGCAAGCACTAACGATATGTGAAGGAACAGAGCGTTGACGTTATGCATGGTAAGAAAAATACTGAAGTAAAGTAATTAGGGGTAAATTGCGAAAAAATCAAGCAAAGCGTGTGGAGTCCGAAGGCAAAAGGTTTGTAAACAATGGTTTGTTGCGCATTGAAAATGAAATGAGATCTGGGATGATAAGTCACAGAGCCCTCGAGTGGATGAGCTTTGTATCTTTATAGCCTCTTGTCTCTTGACTATGTACACCGCCACGCACATAAAACTGTCGTTCATAAGTTTGTAATTCGATTCGAATTTTGGAAACTCGAGTTCGAATGACAACCGATTAGGATATGCTAACCTCGACTTCAACATGCAGATATTACCCTTGTCTTCCCTCCGACATGGTGTACTTTTAACATTGACAAAATTCACCATAGCAGAGTCTTGACTTCGGATGTAACACTCCGCATCATACCTTGTAACGGTTATCGGGCCATAGCAACTTATTCTTAGCAAATTACCAAAGGCCCCCGGATGTCACTGACTCGAGCTCTGAAGATATCCCTTGAAGGTACATCGAGAAATTTGAGACTGCTTGCCATGTCACCGAAGATCGGTCTTGACTCTCGACTACCTGTGGCTATGATGCCAGTCACATGATCTGATTTCGTACTCATTTTTAGTTGTCGCCTTCAAGGGTGCCAATTATTACGAGTGGGCCTATGCGCCGTGGATAGAAGGACTTCGGCTTTTTGGAAAGCCGAGGTTGCAGTTTATGAATTGGTTTTTTTTCGAATCAATAATTTCTGAGGGTTCTATTTGAATATTATAGGATACCTTGGGATTGAATGATAGCCTGCTTATTACTGGGGCAATATCGGCCACCTTGAATGTCTCAACTTTTTCCCTGTCCCATATTTCTGCCGTTTGTCGAAGAGAATCGCCCAGACACAAACAAACAATCAAATGTGCAAGATTATTGATGCTGGCCATGTTACTGTGTCCATTGCTTTTCAAATCATAACCTCTCAAGTCAATAAAAAATGCCAAGGTGGAGGCTCCAAGCCGAGCAAAGCTTGCAACAGAAAATTTAACCACAAAGAGGTTCATGCAAAAATGATGAATGACTCCTTTGTTCAAAATCCTTGCTATGTTGACAAGTTGTTCTGTTGTCAACTCTGGATGGGACACAATTTATTCTTGCAAGTTGTTGATGGAAGATTTGGTCTCTCTCTTTTACAAAAGGGCACAGCTGCTATCAGGATTCTCACATTCAAAACTCCTGCCAACATGAATGACAAACACATCCATTTGGCCCAGTCAACCTCAATGGATAATGTGAATTGTTTTGTGCTGCCATTGTTTCTCTTGCTGGAAAGGAGTACCTTTGGGAACTTAACAAGGAGAACACTGCTAGGCTCCTTGCTATTAACAAAGCTTTCAGTTTCCCCACCACCGACATATTTACCTCCAATTTTTTAATGTGAGGTATTGTTGGATCCCAAAAATTGTAAAGAGTCTTTCCAAGGTTTTGATCCAAAGTAAGTTTCAGTGCAGAAGAATACCTTGGATAAACACCTTGAACAAGGTCTGTCCAATGATTTGCCTGCAATGATGCCTCAAATTTCTCAACGCACAGCATCTATGTTGGCAGTGCCCTAGAATGCTGGGTTCTCTTGATTGCATGCATTTACATTGGGAGAACTGCCCAAAGGTGCATCACAGTTAATAAGAAGGCACAGAAGCAGGCCCCACCATTATTTTGGAAGCCTTTGCATCCAATGTGGGGGTAGTCACTCCTTTGAAGGAGGCTACACTCACTAAAAGGTGGTACTGGGACTAGATATATAGTGAAGTATAATAAATAGTATGATATTTCAAATTATAACTAGTTACAAGAGAGGAGGAGGAGGATAGGGACGTAAGATTGAAGATGAGATGAGGATGAGATGAGTGGATAATAGTTAAACAACTAAGAGTCTGCTGGGACAAATCCTGGAAGACTACAGTTAGTTGACTCTTAAAGAAGAGATTTGTTTTACTATTATGTGAGGGTTGAGAACAGGATCCCAATGTTCTCCAATATCCTTCTTGGTAATAGGATAAAGATTGATTATTAAGATCACTATCTTGGTTATCTCTTAGAGGTCACCAACCTATTGGTTATTATCTCAGAGGTCACCAACCTAGTATAGAAACTACTTAGGGGAAGTAGAGGATCCAGAAGGGAAGTGTATAACTTACTTGGATCTAGTCTGGAATAATCAAGGTAGTATAGAATGAATCACTAGTATTACTATTTGTAATACTCTTGATTTTTATTCTAATGGAACTCTTGATGGTTCTTTAGAAATAGGTATGTATAAACTTAGTTTCTTCTCTGAGGATGAACTGAGTTTTGGTTTATATATTCAGCTCTCTAAATCTAATATTGTGATATACACAAGTGTTACAATATTAGGTTATAATTATTATTTTTATTATTTTTATTATTTTTATAATTACTTACACTTAATGTTATGTTCAGTAATCATCAAGTGTTTTATGCCATATAAGCATTTTTACCTCTTGATACTGACACCGCGGGAATCAACTCGTTTGAAACCCAATTGAGCTTAATTGCGGTGTCCGGGTTTGAAATTTCCTCGAATCATGAATCTTGTTCACAACTCGTTTGCATTATGTTTGCCAATTCCCCTCGGGCTGTACTCTGTACTTGGCTGGCCCCGTGTATGCACAGTCACATCATACAGCAACATCCCCTTTCACCATTCCTCACCTTCATCCTCCTTTGTCAAGCCTCAATCAACAAAAAAAAAGCAGTTCAGCAGGAACATGATAAGCGGTGAGATATGTAGTCAAACGGTTGGTATCACAGGTTTTGAAAGTGCTGTGTATGTGTATGTATTGTAGGGTACTCGAGGGAAATAAGCAAACATAATGCTAACAAGTTGTGAACGAGATTCACAATTCGAGGAAATTTCGAACCCGGACACTGAAATTCCCCTCAATCGGGGTTCAAACAAGTTGATTCCCGTGGTGTGAGTTATAAGATGTTACTATTGTTTTTGTATGTAATTAGGGTACTCAAAGTAAGTATGCACACGTACATACTTTTGTGTGCATACTTTTTTTTGGCAGGGAAAGAGAAAAAAATCACTTTTGGCCTCGGTCTCCCCGCCAAAAAAAAAGTATGCAGCAAAAAGTATGTACATGTACATACTTACTTTGAGTACCCTTAATCTTATATTTTACATATCAGTTCTTGATCATGTATATATGTAATTAGTGTTTTATATATATTTTATTACACTAGAGAACATGCAGGCATGCCCGCCACAGCTTGACTGTTTCTGAATTTACCTACAGAAATTTACATTTGCAAAAAGAAGCACTTTGTACCACCCACTTACGTAGCTCTGGCCACGATTGTCCACATCTTTCAAGAGACAAAGATGGACACTGTCACCTAGAGCACACTTTGAAGTCATTGTAGACAAACAGGTGGTATAAGCTTGCAGACCACATTTGGTGCAACAGTTGGATGCAAAAGGAATTTTGTTCACAAAGATTCCTATTGTCACAAGGCAAGCCCAGTCAAAGGAGATATATAAAGGTTGGAGGTTGTAGGTTTAGTGTGAGATTCAAGCAAGCCAAGACAGGTACAAATAGGCCAAGAAGAAGAAAGATTACCAAGTAGTTATCAAAAAATGGGCAGAAAAAAGAGTACAAAAGGAATTATCTGTACAGTGACTTGATGAATTAGGTGAAATATTGAGCTATAGGATTGGTTTTGAGGTGGGAAAATTTGTTGGGAGAGTCAGTGTGACATGTTACCTTCTTATAAAGTAAAAAAAAGTATACCAAGGCAGAAACACACCATTTGGAGTCAGATTTTGCAAAGCTTGCTACCAAGAATTGCAGGTCACACCAAAAATGGATTTGTGAATGTATAATCAAATGCAAACAATCACAAAACATCGAGAGCAATCAAGATCGGAAAGTGTTAATCTAAAGCCGGGGTTGTCAGGCAATGTGGGAAAGTACATTTCCTTTCCACAAGGTGAGAGTATGGTGCAAGGAAATTACTATGAGATGATGGTTTTTTATAATGGCTTGTTGGGTTAGGTGGATGGTTGCATTATAGAAGTTTCTTCATTATACAAAAATGTGATGGGGAAACTGTTATCCATCAAAAAAAGTAGAATAACTTACCTCTTTATAGGTCTAAGAAATAAATGCAAGGCTTGGCAAAGACGCGACTTTTGAAGTGATGCTTTCAAATGCTGAGAAGAAGACAGCTTTGAAAATGACTTTTTACAGGCAACCATCGAAAATAGCAGGTTGCTCGGAGCCTCACACAAGATGATGAATCGGAACAAGGCAAATTAAGAATAAATAGCTTAACTTTTCAAGAAATTACAAAAACAAAAAAAGAACAATAGAAATTGAAAGAAAGAAGAACAATACCAAATGAATAAGCGCCATAAAATTGGCGATTGAAAAGTAGACATACAATCACGAACCCAACTTGAAAAGCACCAAAACCAACCTGATGGGTGGTGGACCGAAACAGAAGAGGATTGTACGGTACTTATGCAAGTCGATTCGACATATTTATATTTTAGATGTTACATATGTTTCTAAGGTATATGTACATGTACTTGAGTTTTATGAGTAATATTTATATTTACAAGTTAGTCTTTGGGTACATGTGTATGTACCCAGGGCTGACATCCAAGGATTCTTGGATCCGGCAGATGTTTTTTGGAATTCTTGGGCAACATCGCAACCGCTACGCTCCGCTCAGGTTTTCAACCTGTTTTGGGAGCGGAGCGCAGTGCTGCGCTCAATCTCACTACGCACAATATCACTCTTTCTCATTTTTTTTACTTCGGTGTGCGTAGTGCAACACCAGTGTGCGGCGCACAACGCTATATTGCGGCACTCATCACTACAAAAGACCTGAAAAGTCTAAAAAAAACATAAAAAAGTGACTGAAGCCCCGGTTCTGAGCGGAGCGATATGCTCCGCTCAGGACTTTCCTATCCTCGGAGCGCGGTGCGCAGCCTCCGCTCTGAGTAGCGGAGGTTTGAGCGGATGCCAAAACCGCTCCGCTCGCGCTCATTCGAGTGGAGCGGTTGCGGTATTGTCTTGGGTCTCTTAATCATCTCAATATACTTCATCACTCTCCTCTATTCAAATGGCTTTGCAGAGGGGAAGCACCCAAGTGTAATTTTGAAATCAAGGGTCACCAATATGACAAAGTTTACTATCTGGGTGATGGAATCTATCCCAAATGGTCTACTACTGTGCAAATTATATCACAACCACAAGACCAGAAGAAAATGGTCTGTGTTTGTTTTTTACTCCAACAGGATTGATTTACTGACTTGCTGTTTGTTATTCCCTGACAATACTTTGAAAAGATGCAAGAAGCTATTTGTAACAATGTTCAATGCACATTTGGCATCCTACAATCCTGTTTTGCAATAGTAGATGGACCTGCTTGTATGTGGAGTCCAAATAAAGTCAAGACAAGTTGGCTGGTGTCATCCTCAACACCATGGTAGTTGAGGATTAGCAAGATAATGGACTTCACAATGTCATCCCAATGGTTGAGATATCAGAGGTCAATCCCCAACCCGCAGCGCAGTTCACTGCGCAAAAATAGCGG